TTCTTCTCCAGACATTTTTCTTGCAGCTGTCGGGTGGAGAATATCACGTCCTTTGTTCCCCTTCCAGCTCGAAAGCCACATTGTAGTTCAGGTAATATACAAGAACATATATGTGATAGCAGCCTGTTAAGAAGCCTGGCCAAGACCTTTCCAGCAGATTTAAGGTGTGTTATGCCCTTGGTAATTGCCACAATCTGACTTGGATCCTTTTCCCTTCTACAGGTAAACAAGGATACCATTAATCCAGTCAGTGGGAATTGATGTTCCTTCCTAACACTCACAAATAAAGCTATGCACAGTTGAATTCACATTTTCCCTTCCATACTGCAGTAGTTCCACAGGTATGCCATTCATCCCTGGAGCTTTACAAGCATTAGTCTGACTAATGGCCAGATCAGTTTCTTCCTTAGATGGTGAAATATCTAAATCCATGATGATGTCACACTGTGGTAAACTTTCTATAGCAGTTTCGTCTACTGCTGAGTGGTTGAAAAACAGATCTGTAGAGTACTGATGCCACCGCTTCATGATACCCTCAGAATCCTTTATTAACACTGATCTGTCTTTGGATTTGAGTGGAACCACAGAGGCTGAGGTGGACCAAATACAGATCGCAAAAGAGAGTAGAGTCATTTTATGTTGTATTGATTAGCTGCTTCTTGTAATTCAGCTGATATGTTAGACCAACACTTGGTTTTCATTACTCTCAGGGCATGTTGCAAGTTTGTTTTGTGTGTCTTCAGTGATTTCTCAACCTGTGGTCAGGGACTTGACCAATGAATGCTTTGTCTCAGTTTTCTTATCCAGAAGATAATGTATCCTGATTTCACCCCCATTAAGTGATCCTCATCAGAGAAGCAGGTTTCCAACAGTGCTGCATATTAGTGTTAAGTCGACCGTTCCTTTGTCATCAGAGCTGTTACCTGTTCTGGTCTGCCTGATTTTCAAGATCAAGCAGCGTTCTAATGTTCTGACATTCAGTGATATGCACTTCTTGGCATATTGTTTAGTATTTGTCACTTTTGTTCCTGCTATAATGAACAGCTGCCAGTCACAGTAAACTGACCAGCTTGAGGTGATGATAAGAAATTTTTGATGCACCTTTACTAGCATCCTCTTGATAACTCTGGGTGAGCAGTGCTGTCCTTGAACAGGGCTGCTAAGACACAGGAATTTGAGATTTGCCTTTGCCATCCATTCGGCAAGATAGCGATGTTAGATAAAAATCCTGCCATCTTCGTGCAGATTCATGACTACAGGCCTCATCAAGTCTGCCTATGTCACCATTTCTCCATCGCCAAAGGAATTCCACAAAAGATGCGATAACACATATGATGAGTTAACAAGACATCTGTACATCAGTGGATTATAGTGATCTAGGCTTGTACAACACCTACACCACACCTACACCACTCTTTGAACTTTAGTGTCTAACTTCCAGTGACAAGTTATTTCAAGATGACTAGTAGCCACTTCGATCACAGGTTTTTCCGAGTGTCCCTCTCACAAAAAGCAATGACTTGTCGAAAGATGCTTTCAGCCACAGAGGTCATGTCACCACATGCATACAAATACCATATACACATATACATGTATATATCTATATACATACAAATACATATATACATACACATGTACAAAACACATACACAATATATATATATATATATATATATATATATATATATATATATATATATGAAAATCTAATTCTGAAAAAAATCATATGCTTTTCATCTATATATATGTATATATAGGCCCATATATACAACCACACAAAAAAGCAAAAAACATGCATATAAATACATTAATATGCTCCTAAAACATATACACATACACACTTATAGGTCCATACCTAAGAAAATAGATATACATAATATATATCCTAACACACCCTTAACATATAAGTATAAATATGCATATAAGAGTTCACCCCATCAAGTGTACAGAGATACATACACATGATACATATAGACATATATACATACACATACAAGCCCACATATACAAAATATGTATATGTACTTATGTTTACATATACATACATAAAAAAAACTATAAATTAAAGTTATAGGTGGTGGAGGGAGAGAAACCACATGAAGGATCATAACATGAATACTGTGATTGCATGTATTCATACATATTATTATTAATATTATTATACAAAACATCCAAACTTACAAGTGTGAGGTTCTCCAAAATAGATGTTATTCAAGAATTTTGAAACATTTTCTATGTCTACACTTGAAGACAAGCTCATTGTGTTGGTTCAGTAACTCATACTTAATTATAATAATCTTTGATGCAAAGATTGTATCTGTCCCTGAAGGTTTTGGGAGTTTAAGGTTTACAGATGATCTTCCATTTTATGTGTGGGGTGAAGCCACCATCAATGAGATTCCAGTAATGATTTGATAAAGCTGTTTCATATCTCAAAGATTCATTGGTGAAGGAATGCCAGTGATTGTAAAAATGTTGTTTCCAACCAGCTGAAATTTCTATATAAACCTTCTTGTTGATATTTTTCTTCAGAAAAATAGTAGCTTAATATACTACATTTTCCCAAGTGCAAATACCTCCAACTGGACAGTCAGCCTTGACCTTACAATTACAAGAAGGTTTATTTCCCTGTGATTCACTGCCATGAAATTTTTTAAGAGGAGATTATTGTGGGAACTAATTATACTTTCTACATTATTAACACATGAGTAACTAATTTTTAAAGTTTTTCTATTTAAAATTTTCTTCAAAGGATTGCTATTATTAAAATGCTTGTCTATTAAATTTAAGAATAACTTACAGAAAGGTGGGTTAAACCATATTATCTTGCTTTTTCTGTTTTTAGATTTGTTAGTTGTATTATTTTTCAAATTTTCTTGATAATTTAATTTTTGTTTAAAATTACTATTTTTTGAGGGCTTAATTATAAGTGACTTTATTTTCATTAAAGATTTTGCTGATTGATGATAATCTGTTGATCCCAATTATTAACAATGTTAGGAAGTTGGTTTATTATTGACTTAGGGTGATTAGAGTAGATGTTGATATAAATGGAGGTTTGATTCTCTTTCTGAAAATGTTTGAATGTATCATTAGAAAGATTGAAGGTAACATCTAGGAAGTTAACAATTTTGAGGTTGGAAGATATTTCAATCTTAAATCCCAGAAACTGGAAAGCTTTTATGATCTTTATTTTGTATTTTGGAAGATAGAGGACTATTACTATTAGGAATAACAATAAGTCCATTTCTGTAAAGACCTACCTGGTTGGGGTCAATAATGCTACTGAAGATGTCATATATATATATATATATATATATATACACACACACACACCTACTAAGTCAACTTTTTGAGTAGAATTATATGATCCCATAGGAACATTGAAGCTGTCATTAATATGTTTAACCCAAGTAGAATTATTATACATTAGTAGAGATTGTCTAGACCCTACAATAACTTCAAAATAAGTTCATCATCAGTAATGTTAATATAATTTTTATCAAAATTTTAACTTTTTAGTAATAGGTCTTTCAAAATATGGGTGGAAATCAATAATATTAAATTGAATAAAAGCAGCGTTATTTTTATTAGTGATTCTCTGGAAGTGTCTGAAGAATCTTTCCAAAGATTAATAGAGTATGTTTCTTGTATTATTTTTTTATTTTAAGTATGTTTTATGTATATGTAAAACATGGTATTTGTATGCGAATGTTTATATATATATATATATATATATATATATATATATATATATATATGCATCTGTATCTTCATAATTTATTCACTTAAAATGATCTGTTTATTTTTTAAAAGATCTTTTTGCATATTTTTGTTTTGAAGAATTTTTTACAAAAATTTTTTTTTTTTTTAAGAAAATTATTCATAATTTAGCTTGTTTTACTAATTTATAATAATGTAGTAAATAACTAAATACATTGAACAGACAATTTATGAATATATTCAATTTTAAACCCCAACAATTACCATTTCTGAATCACCGTTTTTTTTTTTTTCTCTTTCTTTCCTTCGCTTTCCTTTGTCCTTTTTTGAAGATATTCTCTCTACCTTACTTCTCACATCCGGTGAAAAGAGGTTAACCTGTCTGCTCTCATACATGACTGTTCCCTCCCTATATTACTCCCCACCCATATAGTTCTCTCTAGACATACATACCTCTTTCTCACCTTTTCCTTTTCTCTCTTTTTCCCTTCCCCCATATCCAAATTTTATTTCAAAGCACTTCTTATGTTTAAATATTTTGTTATCTGCCTATGCCTGGATGAATTTTTAAATCCATTTATTGTTGAAAACGTTTGAATTGATGAGACGAGACCGAGAGATTGGTTTTGCAAAATAAAATATTACTATGGAATTCTAAAATCTTCACATTCATCATCATTATTATTTGCCCTGTTTTTACATTGAGCTCTCTTTGGATTTGTATCCTCTTTGAAATTATCCATACAAATTATCAATTAATATTACATATATATATATATATATATATATATATATATAAAAAACAGGCAGACAAACACTTTTGGAGCTCTGGTCATCAGGTATGGTTCCCACTCATCCTCAGAGATCCAAATGCATTTTTTTTTTTTACATACATTTTGGGCTTCCTTTTATTCTAACCTGAAGAGGCCAGAGGGAGCAGACAGTCTCTTATATATATATATATATATATATATATATATATATAGAGTATGTGTACACTCAGTACTAATATAACTTTAATATGTTTACTTAGAACATGAATAATGCTATGTATATATCTCAAAAGTTTAACTCACAAGACAATTCTGAGTAGAGATTTGGAATGTCAAGTACACAATTTAGCCTAATACAGCATCATTTGTCTATATAATCATTATTTATATAATATAAATCTATATAATCATTATTTATATCAATTGAAGTTTGCTTTAGTTCTATTTTCTGTGAATGAGCAAAGGGATTATTGTATGCTACTTTTAATCTCTTTTATTAAATAGAAGAAGTTATGCTTAAGGAATCTGAAGCGCCGTCGACGTCGGCATCATAGTAGCAGCAGTAATGCTTCTGCAGTATCTGATGATGATTCTGATCTCAGTGAAGGTAGGTCTGGCTTATGTTTTTTTTTTTTTTATTATTATTATTATTATTATTATTTTGAAATAGACTTTTCTTTTAGTTTTTAATTTTTGTTCTTTTCTAGAATAAAAAAACAACAAACACTCTTAATTTGTCCATAAAACTTCTGTAAAAGAAATCTAATAGGAATGTAGTGATTATGCAATGTAATATGTGTCTCCAAGAGAATTGAATTAAATTTTCCAGGTTTATTTAAGAACGAGTAATGCCATTGACATGAAGAAATGGATTTTTTTTTTTTAATATATATATATATATATATATATATATATATATATATTTTGTGTTTTGGAGGAATATTTTGAAATTTTATATTAAAACTTTTTATATCTCAATTGACTGAAAAAAATTAATGTCGGAATTGATCTTTATTATGATCAGTGATTTTTTTAATTTTTTTTTCCCCCCCAAATTAGGTGGAGAAGATGTGAATGATGTTGACCTATTATCAGATGAATCTGATGAGGATCTTGGGAGCTATCTTGAACATGACTCTGATTCTGATTTATCAGACACACTTATTGATGGACAAGATGTACCATCGAGTTTTTCGTTGACAGGCCGGAATAACCAGCTTTTAACTAATGGGCCTGGTTCTGCAGATCATCGGTCAAATGTTGCTGCTGCAGCTGCAGCCGCAGCAGCTGAAGCAGCTGCAGCAGCTGCAGGTATGGATGGGAACTGGAATCTGAGACACCCAAATTCTCGCAATAACATTTGGACTGATGCTGCTACTAATGTCAGTCTTGTACATTTCTCGTCTGAACTCCTGTCTAACTCGGCCACATTCCTTGGACAAAAACTGGAGCTGAATCTGAAGAACTCAAAAATGGACAGTGCTGACAGCTGCATGGATTTTAATTTGTTCAAAGATAACAACATTGAACAAAGAAACTCTGTACTCTCTGGTAAGACACAAACAGTATTTTTAGAATTTTGTAAGTGTGAATTTTATAATAAAAAAAAAATTTAATTTCATAGCAACTCTGTATGCTAAAAGTATAAGTATAATTTAAAAATCTATTTGAATACAATGGCCAAAAATGTTGATTAAAAAGAACTTTGCAAAAATAAATTTGATAATGAAGTTTTGGAAAATTCAAAATTGAAATGACAGCTTTAGTAAAACTTGATATGTGGTTTTTTTTTAAAACAATAATTAAAGATCATATTGTATTGATGTTAGATCATATTGCAGCTTTTACTTTTCTCCAAATTTTTCTGATGTTATGTGACTCAATTTTGTTCCAGTTTGTTAAACACTAATAAATTCCTTAAAAGTAGAGAACTGTAATCATAATTTCATGTGACTTGAGACCTTCCACTTTGATGTTATCTTAAAAAGATTTGCTTGTTTCAGGCTATAACACAGTAGAAGATTGGCACTCAGCAGAAATAACACAAAAACTCCATGACTTTGTAATAGAAACTGATACAGAAACAAGCCGAGGGCCAACTGACACAGGTGAGAGAAGACATCTTATGAAATATATATATATAAATTGCTTATATATCCATTGTGTTAGTTATTTAGCAAGGTTGAGAGTGGACTAAAGAAACTTTTCATTAGAAAAAAAAAGTTAAATTTAAATAAATTGGTGGCTGTGTAAAACTAATTTACTTATTTTTAAGTAAAATCAAACTTTAAATAGGATTAGTTCTGTGTTTATTTGCATGACAAATCTATTCTAAACAGTCAAGTTTGGTTTGGCACATTTCACTAATAGTTAAAAATTGAAGTTTATTTTCAGTTATCCCAAATATTTTGTCATTAAATGATATTAGGAGATTTTAGTTAACTTCATACAAAAAGCTTTCATATCTTTAAAATGATTATCAAAATTGATCCATTTTTGTTTATTGATTCTAACATTCAAAAATAGAAGAATATTTTTTTGTGATATTATGCTTCTTATTTGTTAAGAAAAACAAAAATGTAACACAAACAAAAGATTTGCACTGTTTATGGAGAAGGTACCGTGAATAATTGAATATGTCAAAAATGATTTTCAAAGAGATGTTCCATGGTCAGGTAAACTAGTTGAGATTGATAGCAATCAAATTAAACCTTGAAAATAATCAATATATAATGTGGTAGATAACCAATATCTTCAAAATCATTTGTACCAGTTTTGCTTATATGCTTTAATGTGTGACTTCTAAATGGAAAAAAAAGTTACTGGACAATATTTCTATATGTAGTTCAATACATGATGAAAATGTTCTAGTATCAAACAAAATGTTACAAGCAAGGAAAAGATGTTATTTTAACAAAATAATGGAATGAAAGCAATCCTGAGGCAAAGGAAATTAACTGATACTAAATAGAAGAAAGTTCAGTCTTCATCATCAAAACATTGATGCTGGGTATGTGGTAAGATGGGGAGGGAGACTTCTGAGAACTCCTGAAAAACCAAAATTAATTTAAACAATTAATGCTCCCCACAAAAAATAGACTGAATGCAGTAATCAGCAAAAAGAGTTTAGAATAGGTTAATCGAAATAGAGTAATATTTTATCTTGGGTAATAATGCTGGGTAATGATAATGCTTGTGTGTAAATTTCTTTGGTTACCAAACAAAAATTGGTACAACTTGGCATGCAAATTTTTCATTCATCCAACATATTTACTTCTGCAAGGTTACCATTTAATCTAGTCTTTACAAAATTCTCAAGATGTAAAAACATTTATTTTCCCTAGAAGACTGCAAAAGGTACTGACAGTAATTGTTTAAGTCTTTGGTGAGAAATTATGAAGTTGCTTGAAATATGCCAGTAGGTATTGGAACACACTTGTAAATATGTTGTTCAAAACAAGTTGCTAAAAATGTCAAAAATAAAAACAGCCTTTTTGAAACATTATATATGAAAATTTAGATGTGTCTAAAAATATATTTTGACTAGATAAAAAAAAAGATTAGTTGTTGGCAATATTTTCCTATGTAATGTTCATTCTTAAATAACTTAGATTTCTATCTGGTGATCACAAAGATAAAACTTGTAGTTCTTGTAAAGACTTTTGGACAATTGTAATCCTAAAATGGAGATGACATTGTAGGGAAAAATTATTCTGCACTTGGTGAGGATCTGTTATATTTAACACTGATATCATTAATAAAAATTACACTGGAATAGATTGGGTCAGTAAGCTACACAAAATACATAAACAAAGCTACCTGTCTTGTTTATTTATTCAGCATACTGATATTGAAATCTTTTAATATAAGTATTTAATGATGTTCCTCTTCATGGCATTTCTCATAAGTGGTATCTGCTGCATGTGGAAGCTTATGAAAATCTATATAATTTGCAGCCATTTTTTTTGGTCTCTACTGTGTTATGCTTTGCTTTTGTGAAATGGAATGTGAAAAAACTGAAAATGTCTTTTTGAACAATTATATTTTTAATTTTGTTACTGTTAATTTATATTTATTCCTTTGGAATTATTTTTATTGTCTAAAATGTTTTATTCTTTTCAGAGCTTTCCAGTGCCCTGAGTGAAACAGATGCTGAAGGGGAGAGTCAGGTGGACAGGTAAAAAGGTTTTTCTCTTTTTTTGTTGGCAAAATCATTATACCTGTTTCTGAGAAAAAAATGATGGTTGACCAGGAAATTTTCGTTTCTAAGATATGATGTTCAATTACATAAATTTTAATAATAATAAATAAAATTAAATTTGTTCACTAATAAAAGTTTTTAGTCTGAATTTCACAGAATCACATACACTTTTCAGAAATGTATGTTGTTTCTTTGTGATATTTTTATGCTTTTCTCTTTGTTTTAGCAGGTTTCAATTTTTTTTTGTATGCTTGTCTTAGTATTCTTGTTTTATGTTGGGAAATATAAATAAAAGAGGGAAAAGAATGAAATTTAGAAATCTCCAATGCTTTTTATGAAATGAAATATTAGTATCTGTTAACAGAGGTGGCTTAAAAATGAATTGGATTAAACTGACATTAGTGATCCCAACATTAGATTGGGAGTTAATTGCATTAAATCAGATCACTGGTATCAGTCTAGTAATTGTGTGTGTGTGTGCGTATATATATGTATGTATGTATATATATATATATATATATATAGATAGATGGATGTTAATGAGTGCAGTTTTTTTTCTCTGTGTAGGAATTTAATTATACACTTTTGCTTTGTATGTACTTTTATGCCAGATGCCATTATTTATCAGAATAATGAAAAAAAACACTACTCTCAGCATGATGTAATTGGACCTGTGTGTTGAAAAGTTATTTAAAGATGGTTTGGGGAGATATTGAATTATGCCATCTTGATAACTGTCTACAGCTTCCTGATATTTGTAGGTGCAGGGTCATGTATGCAAATGGATCTCTCTACCATGTCCTATAAATGCTTAATGTCATAGTGTTCAAGTGAACATTACACCTTTCATTGGAAATTTCCAGAATGCTCTAACCTATTCTGGGGAATTAGAACCTGATGACACATTGAATTATCCTGATGTAATAACCCATTGTTATTGGGGTACAAACATGGATGGATATAAATGGTCACAAAGCAATGCAACATAGTGGTTACTGGGTTGGAGGTGTATTTAGATGGACTAGCAGACAAATATGAACACATCCTATTATTTATAGAACGATCATCACAACACGCATATATATATATATATATATATATAATGAAAATAGTTCCAATTTACTATCTTCTGAAGAGTGGATTTGATTCCAAGAAAGAGACATTCATAAGATGTGGAACTATTGAAATCTTACCATCAACCCAAAACAACTGGAACCAGGACTCATTGGACCACACTGCATGTTACCAGTTATCTAAAATCCAAGTAGTGACGACTAAAGCCCAGGTGTTGTTCTCTCTAATGTTGTGGTGTTAACAGGAGTGCCTTGGTGGTTCATCTGTTCTCATGTCTTGTGGAAACTAAAGGAAGTTGAACTGATTTGCTAGATATGTCTTGTATCTCCTGAATTGGATTTGATTTGAGATATTGTTGCATATCTGTCACTACAATTATATTCAGACATCTCTAGTCATGACTTGTGGTTAGCTACTGCACTGTCCAAGAGGAACAATGCCTTCCATTAGCTATTCCCAATACACTCATGACACAATAGAGATCAAAAGATGTCAAATGTCCCACAATTTTAGAAATGAAATATCTAGTCTGTCAGGCAGACATTGTCATGACCTGTTTGAAATTTGATGATTTGCTTTGCCATGAACAGCCTATGCCAAACCACAACTGATACAGGTCTGGGCATTTTAATATCACCTCAAGGTATGATGGCATCCCATGACTTTTGGTAAATCAAAGTGTATATAAATGTTGTCAATTTCCCTTTTTCTCCACCCATTGAAAGGATTTATTTACTTACCATAGTTTGGCACAAGGCTACAAATATTGGGCACCTAATGAGAATAAACTTGCTATTCAGTAATGATATTCAACAAGACTTGTTAAATATTACCTTGAGGTGTCCTAGTTGAAGAGGATTATTGCACAATAGTTTTTAGTTAAATAATTATTTTTTCACATGTATTTAATACATTTTTTTAAATCAATTCACCCCAAGCAAGGTGATAATGCCACTAAGACACAAGGGGCTACTGGAAATCAAAGAGAATAAGACTTTAGAAGGAACTGGAAACCCAGTATTGCCATTTACAGGAAATGATTATAAAGATGCTGATGGCAATTTCTCATAGGCACTGCCATTTTGTTTTTCATTGGAGACTCTGCAGTACCGATGAACCTAAACAATACTCCAACACACAATTAAAAAAAAAAATCACTTAATTCGGATCATATTTTATGCTTCTATATGTCTATACTAGTTTGGAAATATTGCTAAGCATTAGTTAGGGACTGATATTTCACAGTATCTTGGAAAGGTGTGTGTATATATATATATATATATATATATATATATATATATATATATATATATATATATATATATATATAAAAAAATATTGACAAACAAACTGTAAGTTTTGTAAAGATATGTAAGTATGCTCACAGCAGTGGAATCATTAATTAAATTTCAGATAATAATTATAGCTACTAATATGAAAGTTAATATACTTTTTTGTGGAAGTGATATTGTGTAGTCTATGTATATTCATAGATCTGTACAAACTGTTGATTTTATAAAGATATAAACAAACTGATCACACCAGATGTGAGACCTCAGATTTTCTTTAATTCAAAACCGCTCATCTTAAATGCTAACCATCTATCTCCATACCAAGATAATGTAATTACATAAATGCCAGGTGTAGTTTTACATTGGATTCAGCAATATTGTTTCCAAAATTGTTTTCACTAATGGTCCAACTATTATTTATTTTTTTTTTTTCCCCCAAAATAATTTTGTAACATGAAAAAGTAAATTCCATGGACCTAAATAACTTTGGCCATATTTATTATTGTTGCAGTTTTTCTCATTTTCTCCCAATCTCCATGACCAATCTTTCACTTACTCTGAATGAGAAAACTTCAAGAGATTTCACAATTTAAAAAGTCATCTTAACTTTAATGTGTATAATACTTTAAACTTTAGTGCCATAAAATTTCACAAAACCTGATTTGATCATTTTTTGTTTAAAATTCTCATAATTGATATAAAGAGTTTTTTTTTCAAGAAAAGTTATGGTATAGGATTACATTACCAGTAATCACCTCCCAAATTTTGTAAATGAGGTCATTCTGAAATAGTCAAAATGGTTGACCACATGATAAAAATCAAAATGGCCAACTTTAAACTCAACTTTTTATGCCTTACACAAATGAATTTTCTGGAAACTGTATGGCTATTTTGTTGCATAGCAATAACAGGTTATTGCTATCAGTTGCTAGAAGTTAACAAATAAAGTTTAAACTTTTTATGTACTTTAAATTTGGTTAAACAGATTGTATTGAGTTGAATGTTGGTATTGTGCTATTTTAAATTGTTTAAAAATGATAAATTTTTTTTTATATTTTCAGAAATGAAGCTGATCGTCTACATATGCAACATGTAATTGAAGTAACCCAAAATGAAGGCCTCCTTCATGTTGTCAAAGTTCTTTGTGACTGGATGAAGTGTCATGCTAGTGTCATAACAACCTGTGCACAGGTGAGATCTATATGCCTACTCCTCCCTTTTCCATTTTATACCAAACTTTAACTTATTGTATCCAACCTGCATCAGTTGGGAGGGCTGTAGTTAGTAAGTAATAAGGTAAGATCTATATTCTTATATAAGTTTGAACCTGCTTCTATGCCTACATTTTAATACTAGCTTTCTCCTTTGATTTAAGAGTTTGCATTGATCATTGTATTTTATTATTCTATTTTTTTTTCCTCTAAACATAGCCTGCATCTTTCTAAAGCTATTCTCTCTGCGGGTTTAGACCCTTCTCTTTAGTTCCAAAAGTTTCTTTGAAAGAGTGGTTTGGAATTTTAATTTAGGATTGGTAAATGAGTGCTTGTGGGTATAAATTCTCAGTTTCAATTCTCCCACAGAAATTTCAATGTAAACATTATAATTTGTCTTTGGTGGCAATGGTTACCTCATATATTACCCTAGTGGATCTGCATTTGCCCTCGACTTGGCAGTTTTCTCAGGGGGGGTTCTGTGCTAGATTTTATTTTTTTCCCATAGAATTTACTTAAGACATAGTTATTATGGGAGTTGATAATTTGGTACATTTAGTGCAGAAGTAGCTAATTTTGATCGATTTCCTATTGAAGATCTTACTTAGAGAGTTGTTTTCGTGGAAGTGTTTTTATTTATATATATATATATATATAGTGTCCACCAGGGATTTAGAGTCGAGGACTTTTGATCAATCATTAAAAATACTTTAAAAAATTTAAAATATTAAAGTAATATTTTTATATTTAATTTTTTAATACATTAATTTTGGAAAAATTTGTCAACCAAAATTTAAAAAGTCCTTTGTCAAAGAAGCTTCTCATAAAGTAGTGTGTATTAGAACATGTTCAGAAATAATGTGTAGATGTGTGTATATCAGTGTCAGACACAGAACGCTGGATAATATTACTAATTGATATTATTTTGTCATTTTAGCAAGTTCAATGGTAGAAAAATATGGGAGTTTATTTCTCAACATAACTTCCTTTGATATACTTGCTTTTATGTGGAAGTAAGTTTGCAATAATCTTGCGATATTTATTTTCATACATAAAATTTTAATTTGGTTTTAAGCTTGGTTTTATAGCAGTTACCTCCCTTGAATTATGTTTCTAATTTTTTTTTTTTAAATTAACACTTACAAGTGTCCTTACATTGAATTTAAATTATAAATGCTAACGTGTCGAGTTGATATGTATTATTTATTGATACCACTAAACATCAGAAAAATGAATCCACAATTGATCTGGATCTTATAAACTCGGTAAAATCTCATCTAACATAGTTGAAACACAAAAGCATTGGATAGTATTAGTTTGATGGCAAAAATATGAATTAGTCACTGGTGATGTAATTCTCACACTTCACAATTTATATTTAGGTGTAGATGATTTTAAAAAGTTTCTTTCAAAAGTTATTTTAAAATGTTAATCATTTGCTACGTTTTCCTGTATTAATTTGGAGAGGGAACCACTTAGCATTACAGAAATTGTATGTATTCTTCAAGTAATAAAAATGAATTGACTTCAGTCTAAAGCAAAAAGCATTCTCAGTAATGCAATGTTAGATTTATTTCTGGACAACTTCAGGTTACTTCACAAGAACTAAAAGAATTAATTTTCATTAATATGACTTACAATAGTATTGACTGAAATTGTTTCAAACTACTGAAAATTTTAGAGAAAAAAAATCAACTGTTTACTCTTGAGATACAACAGGCAAAAATGCAGCAGACAAAAGTATGTCTAGAACAGTTTCCAAAGATCAGAGACTGACAGCCAGAAAAAAATGGAATAAATCCACTAAACATTTATGTCCATATCCTACTGGAAAATTTATTTTTAAGATCATTATAAAATATATAATGTCTCTTAATGAAATGAATATGTTCGGAGTTTGATTAGATTCCGAACCAGGACTGATTATTTTGTATTTAAATAGTTTGGACATAATCACTTTTAGTTGTTAGCCTTTCATATCTGCCTGCATGTTGTAATAAAAATGTAGCTTTTTTTTTCTTTCTTGCATGACTAGAATTCTTACTCTGCAAACTTTTACTATTGATTGTGATAATAAAATTATATGGCTACAGCTTTTTTGGTTGGTAATGGCAACAGAAGAAATAAGGAAAATGTCAATAAATTATTTAAAGTTAATTATAAAACAAATGTATAATTTTTGTTTAAAAACATAATCATTCTTTCAAGCTTTGATATGTGCTTATATTTTGGTTACTGATATTAAAATAAGTTTAAGAAATTGATTTATGTTGCAACTTATATGAATTTGACTTTAAATACGCATCATATTGTTGTGGTAAACCCTCTTACAGTATAATGAACTCTTCCTTCTCTCATAAATACAAACTGCGAAGGTCGGACGGGAGTGTGGAGTGGAGTAGTAGACGCAGTGCTAATCTACTTATTACTAACACTATTGTTTTGTATATATCTTCAATATACTTTTTCAACCTACCTTCGTCTTCCGTGTCTTTCTTTCTGGCCCCTAAACATGCCACAACACATATTACATCACTTGCCAGAAATAATAGTTCCCAAAGAGATAACATGTATAACCACTGTCAGCTTGACAAAACATGTTTCATTTAAATTTAATGATTTTATGTAGAGACATACCTTTCTAATCTGACCAAGTCTTTTATTTATAGGTCTCTCATAATTCTGTTATAATTATTCACTTTTTATTACCAAACTTCTTAATCATCACTATAGCATAGCTTTCTAGCATCATTACTTAAATAGAAAACATTATGTATTTAATCTGGCACAAGGTCATATAGAAAAACACTAAAATCCAAATGTTAACCAGTATTCTATGACAGACTTCACAGTATAATCTTTACTGCAATGAACTATTTTCTATTAACATTCCTTTCATGGCTAGAATTTATAGAATACTAGTTTTTACCATACCATAAAAACAGTTTTCATGCTTAGTCCGAACTGCAGTGTTTATGTGGCTTCATATGGTTATTTACTGTTGTAAAATAGTATTGATTTGCTCACAAATCATACTATTATTACATATTGTCATGATGATAATTATAATCACTGAAGATGACCAAACTACTTTGAATTGTCTGCATACAATGTATATTTTTGTATGTAACTTTCACATTGAAGATACTATACTGCATTTCACACACAAGTGCTACAAAGTGATTTTGATTCTAAACAAAAGTATTAATTCATATGTAAATAAGTCATTATTTTTATAGGTACAATGCCAACTTTAGATCAAGATTATAATAAGTTTTCATGGCATTTTTTATAAGATTCATAGTGTTTTCACAGAAATAGGTTATTCTTGATTTAATATTTGCCACATGCACATATTGCATTGAGGTTGATTTATAAATATTATCAGCAATTATACATTGTTATTGTTGTGACAAAACATACATGGTGTTTTTGATTAAATTATATATGTACAGTTTTGTATTTGTATTCAAATAACTTGAGTAAATTTATTCTATTTTTCATTTATGAATATGTTCAGAGTTTGATTAGATTTATTTTAGTGTTACCTTACATACACAAACACACACATGTACACACTTAAAAATATGGTAAAATTTCCATATGAAAAATCTTAAAATTTCCGTGAATAAAACACATTTTCTTTGCTTTGTTATTGAAAATATATTCTAAAAATAGTTAAAAAATCTTCTTCAAAAAATATAGATCATTCTTAGAAAATATTTTGTTGGAAATATTTTTAATTCTTACAATGTTGAAACTGACTGTTTTAAGGTAGCATTTTTACCTAGTATTCCTTATTTATTTATTTATTTTTTATAATTTTTACCAGTTTGTTAAATATGAGGTTTGCAAGAAAGACCTATCACATTTGAAGATGGAAAAGAAACAAATGTCTTAATCAAGATATTTCCCTTCAATAACATGATCCTATGTGTTTAGCAAATTGTACATTCCTTGAGCATAAAATTCTTCAGATTTTGGTGCAAATAAACACTCAATATAAGTCCTTACCTCTCTGCAATTAATAAACTATTTTCTCTTCAAAGGAATATGTAGCAACGACCTGAAAAAGGAGCAAAAAAATAGTAAGGAGAATGAGACAATTTTCCATATTTAATGCCATAATCTCTTCCTGAACATAATCTTGTATTATCATAACTTTATGATTAATCAATAATGGACACTTTTCAAATATTTAGGCAATGCTTCCAATTAATAATTCTTTGTATAATATATTATTATTTTGTTTTGGTTTAGTACTTTCTGATATACGATACTGTTCATATCCCACCAAACACAATTTTCACTAGGTGATAACTTGATATTTTCATTGGATTATAGAGAACCACTTTTCATCACTGGTGATGATGATTTTACTCATGAAAGGTTTCGTAGCAAGTTTCCTATCCAATGATAAGCAAAGAACAACTTTTTCATTAAGATGAGAAGTGATGATGAGAAACCCATTGACCAAGTTTAGAGAATTTTCTCTGTTTATGAAAGTGTTTTCTGATTGTAGAATGACTCGTATTAAACTGTTTTACTAATTTTCATGCAGTTTGCTTGGAGTTTTCCTCAACTGTGGTCTGCTGAAGCTCAGTATCAGCAGAACTTGCTTGTCCAGTTCAAAGGGAATTGACAAAAGAAAATCTTTTTCCATTGTTAAACTCGTCTAGATACTTTATTTTCATAAACAGAAGGAATATTTCTTGCCATTTCCATTTTGAATTCATACAGTGTTTGATTGGGTCTGATATAAACTCAATTTAAAAAGGTAAAATCAATACAAAATTTACCTGCACCAATATTAAATCTGTAAGGAAAGAAAAAAAGGTAATAAAATATAAATATTAATATTTTATTGTAAGTATTTAAAAAGCAGCATCAAAGTGATCAAGTCATAGCTGCAACAGGATTTTCTTTCCAATGTAATAATTATGCCACTAATAGCTTTTGATTTACATTTTGTGTAATGATTTTACTCATTTGACAAGGGAGTTTGGGTGATTCTGTAGTTTGAAATAACAAATTTTTTTTAAATAACATCATTAACTTTTGTTTTCTCTCCTAGTTTCTTCATTTTTAGTCATTTTCACCTTACCAGAACTTAGTTGGTTGACTTTCAATGTCTGATGTAATGTCTGTCTGTCTGTCTGTATAATATATATAGCTACCTTTACAGATTTGCAATACCTAAGATTTAAAATGAATTTTTAAAAATAAAACTCTTTCTTGAAGCTTGTTTAGTTTTCATTTCAAGCTGATGCATTAAATTTAATATTTCCAATAAGCAAATTACTTTTCTTTATTTCAAAACTAATTTAAATTGACTGAAAAGAAATTTTTTTGTCATTGCCATTTTCATACCACATTTATTACAATGTAATTCTCTTCTATATAATAAATGTGAATGTCACTGTCACACTTTTTTCAATTAAATGGACACAACTCTCAAAAGCTCATCTTCTATATAATAAATGCAAATGTCAGTGTGTCACTGTGTCACACTTTTCAACTTTACTCCTAGAGGTCATAGCCTAACATATTATACCATTTTTGGAAACAGGCTGACTCTGTGAGCAGATTAAAAACATCCCAGGCTGGATCCAGACCCACAATCCTGAAATTTTGGATTCCTAAGTTTTCATTACTGCGCTCACACACACACACCTGTTGATACAAGAAAAACAAGGTGCTAGAAATGTTTAAAAATCTAATTAAATAACCAAAACATACTTTACTCTTTCCTCTTAATAATAACAAATGTTTTGAAAAGTAACCTAATGTAAACAATGTCAACATATTTGTATCTACAAAAATAATGTATAAACAGGAAATATATTAAAATATCTGTCAGTTTTAATCCATTTCATCTAATGTTGTCATTGTTTGTGTTAGGTTATGTTTCAGAGCAGAAAAGATAGATCAAGAAAGATTGTTGAAGATGTGTGTTTATAAGCAGTAATTTGAACTTTACTAACCAGAAAGTTCTCCGTGGCTGAATGGTTAACAGCACATCAGGCTATATGTTGGTTACTGTATGGGACACAGGTTCAATTCCTGTTAGAGAATACATTTTCTAAAAATTTCTTGAATATTCAGGCCAGTAGATTTAATTAAATCTGTTGAATTAAAACAGAGCATTTACTCAAATAAGTTGTATCCATAAAAATAATGTATAAACAGAATATATATATATATATATATATATATATATATATATATATATATATATATATATAAATAAATCTATGGGTAAGTAATTCAAGTGAATCCTAATAATATAAAATATTAAAACTGATCCACAAAGAGAGCTCAATGTATTTATTACAGAGCAATATAAATAAATAAATTACATATAAAGGAAATTTAATACCCTATCTGTATGGCCATTTCATCCTGCAAGATAATTGATCTTCCAAGGTTTATCAACACCAAAGTGTTTTAAGATAACATAAAATAAAAAGGAAGATTAAATATTTTTAAAACTTAAAGAAACAGGAAAGAAGAGGAAGGCAAAGGCGACAAAGTAAGAGAAAGAAATTAAAAGGATAAATAAATTTGACCTCTAAATTATTATATAATTAAAATTTTTAAATGAAATAATAAGGCCAAGTATTTAGCAAATTTACGAAGAAATATTAATATTATGTAAATAATAGGTAAAAGTTATATGCTAATAAGAATAAATAATAATAAAGAAATCAAACTTAAGTGAAATATAAATGTTAATTATAGGCTAAAGTTTAAAAAAATCTTTTAAAGAGGGAAATATCAATTAAAAATAACTACTAACATAAAAGTAATTTGATAAGAAAATAGCTGTTAAGAGATTTAATAGTAATTATGAGTATTAAAGATAAAGTAAATATATAAAAAATTTAAAATGTGGTTTTGTTATTTAATTCTGGTTTGTGTACAATCTCTTTCTTCAGAGTTCTCAATCTCTCTGGTGTCGCCTGTCGGTGTTACTGAATTTCTTACCACTTGAAACCGACTTACCAGATGACAGGGGTAAGTGATACCTTTTACAATTAACACTGTGGCTCACCTACTGTTCAATGCATATACACACACTCACTCACTCACTCTCTCTTGCAGTCAAATCCATCAAAGATCTCTTCCATCTCTCTCTCTTTTCAGGTTTAATATTTTCTCTTTTCACTTTGTTTTCAATAAAATACTTTTGTCAATTTCTTATGGCTTTTTGTTTTTTTTCTAAGGACTTTTTAATTTTTTATTTTTCGTATGAAATGAAATAGAACAGTAAATCACTGTTTGAACTTTGGGGATGAAGAGTTATCATTATTTACATTCAGACTATTGTTCGTTTTTGTTGTTATCACATTACTCCCATTGTGCCCTTCAGCCTTCATCAGGTCTATTTTGATCTGGGTAACCTACAGGAAATTTTGAACTGAACCCATTATTTAATCCATGGGGGTAGATTGTTCACATTCCATTGCTCGATCTATCCCTATGAATTAAATAAAAGGTTCAGTTCAAAATTCCCTGTAAGTTAACCAGATCAACATAGACCTGATGAAGGCCAGAAGGCCCAATGGTTGAAACGCTGTGATAACAACAACAACAAAGATGTAATAATAATACTCATGTAAATAACTGTATTTTGTAAGTAATTTTAAAGATATTACTTTTAACTCTTATGCATTTGATCATGGAAACTTATTTATACATTAAGTAAAATTAATCTGAAAAATATCCATAACTATTTGTCCAGTTATGACCTTAGTTCAAAATGCTTTAAATCTTTTTGACACACATTAAAGTCTTATATTTTTCTCCTTTTATATTGTTTCCTTGAGATCTCTAAAAAAAAAAAAAATCTTTGTTTTGCTACTGTACCAAATTGCATCATTGTTCATTAAATAATGGATGTATTGTGCAGTAACATTTTGTTTTGTGTGTGTGATATGGTGGAAGTGTATATCAATTTTTTTTTTTTTTTTTTTTTTTTTTTTTCAACTGTTTGTGAGAAATGTATAAATATTTTCATAAATTTAAGAATAAAATTACTAATATACACACATGAAAAAACTAGTTTAAGTTTACTGTCTCAAAACTTGTTCTTTGCCTAAAAACATGCACTGCATATGTAAACATCAATCAAATAGATCATCTTTAACTTCGTATCATTATATATTTACTAGACATGCCCGTGAAAATTTCACGGTTTTCCTATTTTCATTTTCTGCAACAATAAAATATCTGTAGAAATTCCCCTATTGAATCATTAAATATTTGAGCTTAGCAACTTTATAAAAATATTGCATTAACAATCATAAATATGAATGCTGATTATTATTTATTATCCCCCCCCCCCAAAAAAAAAAAACATGAAAAAATACCTAAGGTTTAAAATGAATTTAAACCAAAATGCAAAATCTTTATTGAAGCTTTTATTTTAGTTTTAATTTCAAGGTAATAGATTAAATTTAATATTTCCAATAAGCAAAATACTTTGCTGTATTTCAAAAACTAACTTAAATTGGCCAGAAGGATTCTTTTTTCCTTTAGGCGTCTTTTATTGCAATTTTTACTAAAAATCTTCCAAAAATAAAATATATTTTTCTAAATCTTTATTTGAGGAATATTAGCTGATTTAAAGTATAATTAATCTGATTTGAAACAAATATTATTTACTTTAAAATATGGAAATGCATTTTTTACTTCAACAGTAACTGTTTTGTTGTGCTGACAGCCTGATGACAAATCTAATGTTAGATGGATACTTTATCTGTAAAACTTAATTTTTAGAAAATGATTTGAGTGCCTTTTTTATATAATTCTTAAGTACTTAGTAATCTTAAAAGTTTAGGAAAATAGTCATTGCTCTTATTTTCTGATAATGTTATGTCTGGTTGCCTGTACTTACAACAATGAGCACCTTACAAAAAAAATTGAAAACAATTTTTGTAAAAATTAATTGAAAAATAATTTTTTCTTAAAACAATAGTGTCCTTAATATATTTTATTTGTAAAAGCAATTAAAAGCTTTTCTAATTAAGTCATAGTTTTATTGCATTTTTTATTTTATGATTCAGAGCAGATTTTCAGTAAATGGTGTTTCTGTTTGACAAAAACAAATTGATGATTTAAATTCTCCAAGGAGTCCTGCTTTTACAAAGATTCTGAAATTTGAATTAATCAAAATTTCATGAAATTAAGTGTGTGTGTGTTGGGGGTGAATAGCTGTTTAAAAAAAAAAAAAAAATATATATATATATATATATATATATATATATATATATATATATATATATATATATATATATATATATTTGAATTTTACACTGTGTAGGCATTCAACATCATCACTTGATAAGACACCAGAGGTGTTGAAACAAAATGACTATTTTTGTAGTGATTTTATCACATATTTGTTATAATTTTTAAATAAATATATATATATATATATATATATATAAATACATCCTAAAGACCCAAGAAACCTACCTAGGTTTCATGTAAATGGATCTTCAGGGTAAGCAGGTCTAAGGATTTTTTCCAAATGAGTATTACTATATATATATATATATACCAAGATTTTCTAAAAACAATTTCAAAGATAATTTCATTCATTTGTGAAAAAGCCCAGAAAATTTAATTAAAATTCGACAATTATTTGATTTTTCAAAGATTTCCAAAACAACGTTTGTTTTTTTTTAACAGCAAAAAAGATGTTAAATTTGACATACTAATCTTTGGCCCAGCTGCTGATAATGCAAAACAAGATTTTAAACCAAAATTTCGAATGTACTAGAAAGGATTAAAAAAGTTATAATATAATCAAAACCTATTTCTGCTTTTCCTCTTAATAATAACAGATGTTTTGATGATAAAACTTTATTTTTATCAAGTTTGGAGCCATTTTTCATCATGGTATGCTCTTTTTTTATAAATTTTTGGAGGTACCTATAAAAAAAAAGTAGGAGTACAAATGAAAAAAAGAAATTGACAACTTTTTTCCATTTCACTGAAACACATTAAACACACAAGTTTTATTGCCTCTTCTATTTTCCCTTTCTTTCATTTTCTCACTAAAACCAAGTAGTTTCCATCTTTCCATGTGATCAAAACGAAGTAGTCCATTATTTAAGATGTAGTGGCAGTGTATACATGCTAACTAAGGAACTAATGGAGGAGCAAGCAGAATAAAATGTTTTTGTATATTAATATTTATTGATTAGATTATTTATGATAACAGCATTAAGATACCACTTAATAGCAATTAGAAAAAAAATAGTTTAAGTTTTGCTTAACTAATTTTTTGGAGGTTGTTTGAAAGAAAAAGATTAAAATCTTCAGAATTAAATTTCTTTCTAAGAAATAAAATAATTTACTGAGGTTTTCATTTTTTATATTGTGTATATTCTATATAACAATTTCTTGGTTACAGATTATTAGCTTAAAGCTGATTAAAAATTTGTTTAAATTCAGGCATTCAGTTTAATGACATTATTTAGCCAGTTCTAAAATAGGTGCTAGATTGTTTATAAAAAGAAGTTAGAATTTGAATTTTACACTGTGTAGGCATTCTAGTGAAAACTTTTGATAAAAAAAATTCTAAATTTTGTTTTGAAATATTTTTTTCTATAAAATTTGTTTACTCTCATCAGCATTTATTATAAATTAATTTAATGGTTCAATATAAAAGATACTTTTATATCAAACAATACCCAATGAAAAAAATCATTTTTATTCAGCAATGAAGTTTATAATGTCCTCCTCTTGACAAGAGCACATGAATATTTATACCTTCCATCAATAACACCTATTTCTCTGTTGTAGGAAAATTCAGTTGGTATGGACTGGTCACTTTTAGGCTTAATTGATTTGAGGCAAATACTGGCATAATGATCATTTAGAAAAGACATTTTACACTCTGTAATTTGTTTATTTTTTTATATTTTATATATAAAATATATATATATATATATATATATATATATATATATAATATATATATTTAAACAAATTTTAAATTGCAACAAATTACACACTGATAACAGCATGAAACTTACAGTAAAGTCTTTTGTGTGTTGTTTTTACCTAATTCTGTACTCCTTTTACCAGTATTGAGCATTCTTGTTGACCCAAATTTCTACCTGTGTGTATCTATCATTTAAAATTTGCTATATTTCTGGTAATAAATCTTGGAGATAGAACATTTCTATATAAAAACTATGTAGAAATAGAAATCAACATTGTATAGAGCCTAGCAATTTCATGTACTAAGTTATAATTCTGATGATTGTTTCAGGCATGAAACTGCCAGTCACCATGCAGTGTTGATTTCTATTTTACATACATGTGAATGTATGTCTGTCACAGTTATATTTCAAAACAGATTCTGTTTAAGAGTGGAAAATGCAGAATTACTGGATAAGGTCTTGTAATACTTAAAATTGGTATACACTTGCTTATGTTTTTATTTTAGTTTATATTTTTAGTGGTTAAGCATCAAGATAAGTAAGTAAGTGTAGTAAGTTCTTGTCATTTTCCCTTCAACTTTAAGGGATTTTTATTATTAATGTAAACCTTATATTTAGGGGATACATGTGCTTCAGTAGAAATCTTTGTCTTTTAATAAAGAAAAAGTGCTCTTTGATAAGGTTTCCAACTTATCCCACTTATCGATTTCTTCTATATAAGAGGAAACTGGTTCAATTACCGTTTACTCCTTCCAGAAAACAGGTGTCTACTCGAATGCATATAACCACCAATTATTATGTTTATAGTTATATACACACATACAATATGGTATTTAGATGTTTTCAGTCTTGAATCTCTTGCCAAATATTTTATGTATTTAATTTTAAGTTTTTTTGAATTTAAACTATATTTCTTTTCATGGGGATAATGTTTCTTTTTATTAAATTTTATTTACTTAATGTATTTTTTCTTTTCAAAATTAGCTTCATCTTCTATTATCAGTATTCTATAAAGCAATTATTTCTATGTATTCTGAACTTGTATGTTAGTAAATTTTA